CAGAGAGGAAGGGAGAGAGATAGAGAGTCAGAAACATCGATGAGAGAGAGAAATATCCATCAGCTGCGTTCTGCACACTCCCCACTGGGTATGTGCCGGCAACCAAGGTACATGCCCCTGGCCGGAATCGAACCTGGGACCCTTGCATCCGCAGGCCAACGCTCTATCAACTGAGCCAAACCGGTCAGGGTGGAACACCTTTATAATGGTCCTAGAACTTTGTGGAGTAATTTTAAATCTGTTTTTCTGCTGAGTTTCTGTAGCCACTGTTTAAAAGTTTCTAGTTTCTCAGTAATTCTTATGGTTGGTGGTATGTGCTTATCATAGCTCTCAATAGAATCTGCTTAGTAGATTTATTTAAAAATTGGTCAAAAATTGACCAACAAATTGTTAAATTAAGGAAAGGATACTTATTTTAAAATAAGGTTTACACCCAGCAGGTCTGGCTCAGTGGTTGAGCGATGGATTATGAACCAGAAGGTCCCAGTGCAATTCCCAGTCAGGGCATGTGCCCAGGTTGTGAGATCAATCCTCAGTGGGTGTGTGCAGGAGGCAACCAGTCAATGATTCTCTCTCATCATTGATGTTTCCATCTCTCTCTCTCCCTATCCCTTCCTCTCCAAAATCAATAAAAATATATATATATAAAATAAATAAAGGTTTACAGAAGAGAATAAGAAGTGTTTGTTGTTGTGTTGCTTGATTGCGAGTTTTCTAGGGATGATGCTGGGAAGGAATAAAACAGGATCTGGAAAATATATTACTTAGAAGTCCTTGGTCCTCTTGGGGAGATAAAAGTTATGTTGGAGCCGGACCATTTTCATATCATGTTAAGTTTCCTAGCTTTTCTCTCTAGCTTTGGATTTCCTAGTTGGGTTTCAGATACATACCCAGGAAGATAACCTATTTGATCCAGATAGAGGTCTGGAATAAACGTTTTCATCTTCTCCAATGAATCGAATGAGTTTTTCATCCTCCGTAGATGTTGAAGGTTCCTAGGGCACAGGAATACCACAGACCTGTCAGTGAGCTCGTGTGTGACCCAGTGACACAGTGGCATGGCAATTGCCTGGCGCCATGTCTAAGCTTTCGTTTTTCCATTTGCTTTAATCATTTAACAAGCATTTTTGGAAGACTTACAGCAAATACCGTGTGATAATTTAGTGTGGATGGGGAAGTACTGTCGGACAAAGGGAGATACTGTGAGAAAAACAGAGCAGATTTCTCCTAGACCTCAGGAACTTATAGCACAGTAGGAGAGATAGACAATAAAATAATTATGGTATATGTGATTACTGCTAGCATAGCGGCATACTCCAAGAGCTGTGTATACCCAGAAAAGGGCCCTCCGTTCTGCCTAGACACACAGAGAAGTTTCTACAGAGAAAATGATCTTTGAAGGCTAAATAGGAGTTTGTGAAATAGAGAAAAAATGGTCTGATATAAGGCCACAGAAGAAGGAAGGGAAAAAGGAGGTGATACTCTATTGCAGTGGGTCTCAACCTTGGCTGCACATTAGAAGCACCTGGGAATCTTTTTAAAATCCTGGTTTCTGGGCCACATCCTCCGGAAATTCTGTTCCTTTGTTACTAATGTTGTGGCCCCACCCCATAACAAAGAAACAGAATTTCTGGAGGATGAGGCCCAGAAATCAGGATTTTAAAAAGATTCCCAGGTGCTTCTAATGTGCAGCCAAGGTTGAGAACCACTGCTCTATAGATTTAAAAGGTATGACAGAGTTTAGTGGCCAAGTAATAATGTTTTCCATTTATGTTGCACCTTCTATATGCAAGAACTGTATCATAAATAGAACAGAAAATGCTGGTCCAAAGAGGCTTGAGTATTGTATAATATTTTTGTTCTGTTGTCCTGCATGTACAGCAAGTAGAGGACCTACGTCATGAGCCTGGGTCATGCCAACATTTAAACTATTTGCAGAGAAGAAACATCAGGGAAGTAAAGTAAGATAGTATAAAGAATGTTAGATAATCATGATGAGTTCTGAAAGCCAAAGATGGCATTCATTCTAGGAATTAACCAGGACTTATCTGGGTTTGAATGCTGGTTGTGCTACTTAGAGTCCTATGATTTGTGATCTTCAGTTTTCTTATCTGTAAAATGGGGGTGGTAATATTTACTTTGAAATCATGTTGTGTAGATAAAAGATAACATGTGCAAAGTATGTAGCTCATGCTAGGCGTCAGTTATTAGTATCTATCATTATATTTTTGTTATTATTACAAGTGCCCCAGGAAAGGTTATTACTACTAATGCCTCAGCAGGGGTGGAGACAGGGTAAGGAAAAGAGAGATGTGGAGATGGGCTTGGGAGGAGAGGGGAAAGGCAGCTCAGCACGGGAGCTGGAGAAGCGGAAAAATGAAGTTTACACTATTTAAAGAATTTGGCGCCTGGCTCGTGCTCAGCGGTTGAGCATCAACCCATGAACCAGGAGGTCACAGTTCGATGCCCAGGTTTCAGGCTGGATCCCTAATAGGGGGCGTGCAGGAGGCAGCTGAGTGATGTTGATGTTTCTCTCTCCCTTCCTCTCTGAAATCAATAAAAACATATTTTTTTAAAAAAGAATTTGGCAATGAAAGAATAAAGAAACAGCATCAGGGTGAGAGATTGATTATTCAGTTAGTAGGAATATAGGTGTGAATGAGACTAATGGAAATGGCTGGATTTGAAATGATAGGAAAAGGGACACTTCTTCAGAAAATGAAGAGATAAGTTGTCTTCAGATATGGCTGCATCTACATGAGGAAAGGCGTTTTGTTGAAGTTGAAGAGTTTACTCCAGATGATGTTTTTATTTTCAACAGTACATATAGAAGTTCTTTAAAAAATGATATCAAATAATCTTACTTCTGCTTTCTCCTCTTCTTTCTTCTCAAATTTATCCTCTGTACCTTCTTCTTTATCCTCTTTAAAAGGCATTTCGATTTTAGCCTGGATTAACTCTTTTATAATGTCCTGTGAGATAAAACAATAACATAATTACTTAGTATAGCTTAATATATATATTTATATCTTAGTGCTATCTTAGCAATTATTAAAAAATATTCAAAGGGCACTAATCCTGTGACTGGGCCCTGTGCTAAGGATAAGGATACAAAAGTTAGTAAGAACGGTCTCTGCCCTCAAGATGCTTACAATTTAGTGCAGAAGGAAATGCTATGGATTCACACATTATAGTCAAATACTAGATATACCCCATCTTGCTCTGGTAGAGTACAGGGGTCAAAGAAAGGGTTGGTCAGGAAGGTTTCCTGAAGAAGATAATGTCCGACTTTCGTCCTGAAGGATGAGCATAAGAAAAACAGATGGCACAAGGGAGAGGATACTAATGTGCACATAACTGGCTCTGAGAACAGAAGTACCGCAGTTCAATAGGACAGAAACGTAGGAGACAAAGGCACAATCGCACTGTCACGCAAGGAGACTGGTCTTTATCATGAAGGCCGTGAGACACAAAAGGGAGAGGACAAGGGGCATGGGATGAAGTGCTCGAAGGAAGAAATGACGTTGATGGGGAGACTAAGATGACAGGGAGGAGGGTGCGTGTGCAGAAGCAGTGAGCCTGAGGGTTTGCCTCAGGAAGCGGCAGGCTGCTCTCCACGGAAAGCCATCCTTTCCTTTCTGAAGTGGGAGACAACATCCTTCACCAAGAAAGTGGAGAGAGGCCGGCAGCAGCAGTGGGTTCGGTTGCGCGTGGCGCCCGGGGTGGGAGTGGAGCCCAGGCCGGGAACAGGCACTGCCGCCATCGCCCCTGGGGAACGTGCTGGCCGCTAGCTCGCCGCCCACTCCCACGCCCGCCTTCGACGGGCTGCCGCTGCCTCCACCCGCTCCTTCGGGGCGGCCTGGGCGCCGGAGGCTGGAGCGGGTGGGGGTTCAGAAGGAACACCCCCCACCCCCACCCGCAGGCACCAGCGCTGCAGGGACCGTGGGCAATGGGGCCTGCGGCTGCCTTCCCAAGCCGGGCGCATTCGGAGAGACACCAAGTGCAAGGAGCTGTTTCCTATTCGGATGGAAGGTGTCCGGCTCACAGTCAACAAAAGCTTGAGTAACCATTTCCCGGTGAACCACACAGTAGCCCTGGGCACAATCCGGGAGTCCAACTACCATTTCAGGGTCACATATGTGGGGACAGAGCAGCTGAGTCCCACGGAGGCATTCCCCGGGTTGGTGGGTGACATGGACAACAGTGGCAACCTCAACGCTCAGGTCATTCACCAGCTGGGCCCGGCCTTAGGTCCAAGACGGCCATCCAGACCCAGCAGTCAGTTTGTGAACTGGCAGGTGGACGGGGAATATGGGGTTCTGACTTCACAGCAGCTGTCACTCTCAGGAACCCAGCCATCAGGTGGGTCCAAGAATCCTCGCGGCCCACGACCTCCAAAGCATCCGCTGGGTGGAGAGCTGGTCTACCCCCCGCGGCCTGGGGAGGAGGGTACCGTCACGTCTCCAACTGGGAAATACATGTGGAACTGGTTGGCGACAGTAACATTGGGCCAGGCGGGCATGCACGGGACATACTACCACAAAGCCAGTGGCCAGCTGCACGTAGGCGTGGAGTTTGAGGCCAGTACAAGGATGCAAGACATGAGTGTCTCCTTCGGGTACCAGCTGGACTTGCCCAAGGCCAACACCTTTTCAAAGGCTCCGTGGACAGCACCTGGATCGTGGGCACCACGCCGGAGAAGAACCGCCCGCCCCTGCCCCTGACGCTGGCCCTCGGGCCTTCCTGAATCACCGAAAGGACCAGTTCCAGTGTGGCTTTGGCCTCACCTTCGGCCGAGCCCCTCCTGGCTCCTGCCTCCCACTCCCTCCCTCCTTGAGATTCCCCCTGCTCCTCTCCCATAGGGAGGGGAGACCTAAGCACCCTTCTTCTCCCTTCCCTCCCTCCTTGGTGGGGGGGGGGCAGCAGAAATGAGGGGACCATCACCCCAGCAGCCAAGTGGGGAATTCTAGAACCACGGGTGCTTCAGGATTCAGAGCACCAGGAGCTGTGTGTCCAGTGGACCTGGGCCCAGAGGGGTTCTGGAATCGAGGGGCACGCCAGATTCTGAGCACCAGGGACAGAGGCTGCCAGACAACCTCAGGGAGGTGTTGGGGCATCTCTGCTGCCACCCCCTCCAAGAAAGATCTTGGGGCCCCACTCCAAGGGGGCAGCAAGAAGAGGAGCTTCCCCATCCCAGTCTGCCCCCACCCACTTTCCCATCCACTCCTCACTATAAATCATGTTTATAAGTTATGGAAGAACCAGGACATTTTACAGAAAGAAAAAAAATGTATCTTACCTAATAATAGACAAACATGTAAATTAACCATCCCTCGGCTACGCTCACCAGCCAATCAGGAGAGTATGCAAATTAACCCAACAAAGATGGCGGTTAATTTGCATACATTGGGGCGAAGCGGCAGAGCGAAGACTGAAGGCTCTGGCTGGAGCAAAGGCCTGGCTCCTGGGTCCCGGAGGAAAACCAGTGCTGGCAGCCAAGGGAAGGGAAGGCCTATTGCATGAATCTCTTCATGCAATGGGCCTCTAGTATATATATATAACAACAACAAAAAAGAAAGTGAGGAGAGATGTTTGGGTGGATAACTCTCTCCGTGAGAAGGGAGAAGAGCTGCCAATGCTCTTGGTTGGAGCCAAAATTCTCTTCTGATAGAGTAAGTGAATGAGGAGGATTCGGAACACTGATTGCAAAAAGTCACTGACCCCTTATCTATTAAGATACAGGAAGAACCTGAATAATGACGCGTGCTAGCACATGACAAATACCTCTTCTTCAATCAGGTGGTCCTCTTCTTCATCTGTCAATAACTTTATTTTTCTGCCTTTGACCCCAGAGAGGAGTCGAGAGCATGTGGTGATCCACTCACAACATTCCTTCTGAGAAGAGATAAAAAGATCATTACTAAGCAGAAAAAAATCAGAGTACACCAATTCATTTATTCACTCACTCCTACTGAGGAGCTGTTAAATACAACCCTCTAAATATAACTTCAATTAACATTGTATCACTTCAGTTCATTGATTTGTGCAGAAGTGTTTTTTTATAGAGACCTAAAACCCCATTGTTTGCTTACTGACATCATTATAATGGGATAAGTAGTGAAGTGTCATAAAATTAGATGCAGAAATTGTTGGATTTACTATGGGCAAGCAGTCTGTCCCAACAAATATACAACTGACCAGTTCACACTCTGGCTGGTGTTGCTCAGTTGTTAGACCACTGGCCCACGCACCAAAGGGTCATGGGTTCAATTCCCGGTCAAGGGCATGTACCTGGGTTGCAGTTTCGATCCCTGGTCCCGGTTAGGGCATGTGTGGGAGACAACTGTTACTGTTTAGATGTCTCAACTATTAACTAACCAAAACAGAAGGCAATTGAATTTTTTGTGGTTTTTTTTTTCAAGTTTTATTGATATAAGCAACATATAACATTGTATGTAAGTTTAAGATATATGACATAATGATCTGATAAATATATATATCAAAATAATTACATTAAATTTAGTTAATATCCATCACCTCACATAGTTCAGTTATTTTCTTGTGATGAAAACTTTTAAGATCCATTCTCTTTAGCAACATTCAAATATACATTTCATCAAAGGACATATACAGATGACAATCCCATGAAAAGGTGTTCAACATCAATGGTCATTAAGGAAATGCAAATTAAAACCATGATGGCATACCACTACCCACCTATTAGAATGTCTAAACTTGAAAAGACTGATCGTTCTCAAGTGCTGGTGAGGATGTGAAGCAACTAGAACTCTCATATACTACTGACAGGAGTATAAAATGGCTTAACTAAAGAGTGCCCCAAAATTCACGCAAGAACTGATTTTGATAGAAAACACAGATTTATAATTAATAATTGTAATTTTTTTTATTGATTCATAAAGTATACAGTATAGGGTTATGTATGGAATAGCGTATCGGGTAAATGGCCTCCACGGCTTTGCTGGCACATACGCATTCTTTTGTTGGAATTTTCCATGACCGTTTTTTGCATAAATGTGGCTGAATTTTGATGAGGCTCATTTTCATCTTGATGGCTTGGTTAATCGACAAAATTGTCGAATTTGGGGTTCAGAAAATCCATGAGTGATTGTTGAGAAACAAATGCATCCACAACATGTCACTGTTTGGTGCAGATTTTGGGCTGGAGGCATCATCGGACCATTCTTCTTCGAAAATGTGGCTGCTCAGGCAATAAGTTAATGGTGCTCGCTATCGCGACATGATAATTCAGTTTTTATGTATGCTATCCCATATATAACCCTATACTGTATACTTCATGAATCAATAAAAAATTTACAATTTTTAATTATAAACCTGTGTTTTCTATCAAAATTACTTCTCGCGTGAATTTTGGTACACCCTTTACTTTGGAAGACAGTTTGACAGTGTCTTAAAAAGTTAAACATACACATGCCATATGACTCAGCCACTCCATTCCTAGTTATTTACTTAACCAGTTAACTGCCACAATATTTTGAATTTAATTAAAAAAGGTTGGCCGCGTACGTCTATAGATGCTTATGGCATACAAATGGTTAAGAGAAATGAAAACAATGTACATAAATATGCACTGAAGTTTTATTTATTATAATTGAAAAGTGGGAACAATTCAAATGCCCACCAACAGAGAATGGGTAAATCGTGTATATCCATACAATGGATACTACTCAGCACTAAAAAAACATAAAATATGCTTTATGATAAATGCAACAATATGTGTGAACCTCAAAAAAAAATTTGCTTAGTCAAAGAGGTCAGACCAAAAGCATACATTTTATATGATTCCATTTACATAAATTCTAGAATATGAAAAATCATCTTTGGTGTTAGAAAGGTGATCAGACATTGGCTGGGATGAGGATGGTTTACAAGGAAACATTTCTTATCACAGTCATTATTTTATGGGCATATGCACATTTTAGAAATTATCAACTTGCACACTTTCAATATGTGTAGTTTGTTGTAAATCAATTAAACCTAAAATGTCTGCTCAGAACAAACAAAACAAGAGCAAGTGGTTACCTTCATGTTATTCAGTTCATGAAGTTCCTTAGCAGGATTTTTTTGTAGGCTGCCAGCGATACTCAGAGCCATAGCTGTTACCATCCCTTTGCAACAACTGGGGGGGAAAACACACACACACACACACAGAGCATGACCTATTAGTATTGGTTCCCCTAAGTGTTTTAAATCCAAGTACAGTGGAAGTTTACCATTAACAATTAAGCTACTGACTCACCAAAGAGTATTATTTGTCTCTTTCTCATTTTTTACCCTTGTCTTCTTCACTCCCTTCCATTCCTCTCACTTTTGACCATTGGTAACATTGAATGGAAATGAAGTGGGTAATTGGCTAGATGATAAAAGCTATCTGCCAAATTTGAAGTAATCAGAGACAGTAGACTTACTAGTTAATAATGTACAATTTTCCAGACTTCGTCTTTATTTGGTGGGAATCCTCTAGCTTTCCAGACATAAGGTTTTTAGAAAGAGATGTTTTGGTTGGTGTTTATTGAAATATAAAAAAGTATACATTCAGCCGAAACCGGTTTGGCTCAGTGGATAGAGCGTCGGCCTTCGGACTGAAAGGTCCCAGGTTCGATTCCGGTCAAGGGCATGTACCTGGGTTGCGGGCACATCCCCAGTGGGAGATGTGCAGGAGGCAGCTGATCGATGTTTCTCTCTCATCGATGTTTCTAACTCTCTAGCTCTCTCCCTTCCTCTCGGTAAAAAATCAATAAAATATATTTTTTTAAAAAAGTATACATTCAGTTTTGCATGGAATTACACAGGACACTATAAGCTTCTTCATAAATGCCCCAGCCTGAGGAAAAGTGCGAAAAATGCAAGTTAAGTGAGTCTTTTTGTTTTGTTACTAATTGTCACTCCCACATCTATAATAATAAAAGCGTAATATGCTAATTAGACCAGATGTCCTTCTGGACGTCCTTCCAGATGACCTTCCAGATGAAGCCGGGGCTGTGAGGGGCAAGCACCTTGTACAAATTTCGTGCATCAGGCCTCTCGTCTGTACATACGTCCCCCATCCTGCCCATGCTAACATTGTTTTCAAATGAATTCTAAAGCCATTGGGAAAACACCAAAATCTCATATTCCAACTGGGCAGTGTCAAAGCTAATTTAAGTGAAGAACTGGTACTTCTTTCCAGGTTTTAGAACAACTTATTGCTGCCCTTCTCTCCTGTGCTTTATGTCACATTTAATCTTCAAAGGGGCAGGAATGAAAAGAAAAACAGATCGTTTTACCCGTTCAAATAACTGGTGTATCGGGACAGATTTTTGGCCAGTGCAATTGCGTCCAGCTCTAACTTTGCAACTCCTATATCATGTTTTTCATCACTTTCTTTCTCCAACTCTGGGAGGCTGTCTCGGTCAGTAAAGTCAGGTACCATTAATATCAGCACATTTACCATCCACTTGACCATAGATATATGCAATTCATCCATCTGTTAAAAAAGTTATAATACAAATGACCCGTTTTAAATAAATCCAACAGTAAGAACCATGCCAAATTTAAAAACAGATGATCATATCTGCATTCAATTTTTAGCAATGCTATCACCACTATGCAGCTGGTATAACTATATATATAATTTTTTTTCTCACTATACTACATTAAACTCTTCTTTAGCTTGGTCAAGGGTATTAAAACTACAGTTACCAAATTGTTCACTAAGGCATCCTAGGGCCCCACAGTGAACTCTCCAGGATGCCTTGGGAATTTTAAATTCTTGAGGGAAATAACAGTGATATTTGACATGACATAGTTCACACTCTCAACATCCGATGCACTATATCACTTTTGCAAAGCTGATTTTATTGGTGGTGTGGTAAAAACAAGCTCTGTGTGAGCCCTGGCCAGTGTGTCTTGGTGGTTAAAGCATCGGGCTGCACACTGGAGGGTGGAGGGCTGGATTCCTGGTCAAGGGCATGTCCCTTGGTTGCAGGTTCCATCCCCAGCCCCAATGGGAGGCAGGGTTCGTGTGGGAGGCAGCCAATCGACGGATCTCTCTCACATTGATGTTTCTTTCTGCACCTCCCCCTTCAAAAATCATTGGGAAAGATATTCTCTAGTGAAGATTAAAAAAAAACGAGTACTGTGTGAAAATCTAAGTGGAACAGGAAGTAAAGGTGGCAACATTCAATATGATTCCAAGGTTAGAAAAGTTGTACAGTGCCCCAGTACATACATTCCTTAGTAATTTTGATGGAGAATAAAAGTTTTTTCCCAACGTTTATGTATGTAAAAAGGTAAACTGAGACATTAAATTTTACAAAGTTTATTTCAGCAAAAAACAATTTCATTTGGGCAATGCCAAACCTGGAAAATGGTTAGGGGTGCTTTGAGGGCAGGGGGAAGGGCAAAGATGTTTATAATTGGCTGTAATTATTTACATGTTTGCCTTATTTGGGAAAATTTAGTTATTTGGCTGTTATGATAATTGTTCTTCCAAATCACAGAAATTTCCCCCAACCCTGGATCCATACTTCCAGTCTTAATATATTTGCTCCTCAACTTTTGGTTCTATATATTTATAATGTGTTGTCATCTACTGTAATGTGATGATTCATAAGTAGTATTCCCATATAACTGATGAGCTCTGCCTTTCAAATTCCTAATTTAAGTAATATTAAAATGGATTAAGTTCATTTGATCATATTAAGTTTACTTATAATAATTTTTTTCCAATGTAAATTTAGATTATAATTATGAGGTGAGAGTAAATGTAATAAACTAAGACATCCTCTAGAAATTATTTCATGTTGTGCTGGCTAAGAAGTCAATGTAAGTCCCCATTTTGCCCTCACAATCTCCTGCTTTAATTGCATAGGCATGACCTGATTTTTCCTTAACCCCTTCCCCAACAATTTTTTTGTTAAAAACGTTTCTTTTTCAGACTAATTTTTTTATTTTGGTTCTATATAGTATTTTTGACGCTGGTTATGAAAACAGTTTGTAACTCGTCTTCCTATAAACCATATTTTTTTACCATATTTTCTTAGTATACTCGTCGACGACTGAAAAAGAACATTTTGTGAAAACGAGTATACACGTTTCTGCCGGGGAAGGGGTTAAAGAAAACTCTCGAAGTCGCGGAGAAACTAAGATGGCGGCAGAGATAAACAGCCAAGGCAAAATTAACCTCGCAAATCCCTATTAAGTACATACGTGGCGCTGAAGTTCAATGTTACCATTAGCAATCTCATTGCCCATCTCCACGTGCCAATGTTTAATCATGCTGTATATATGTGCTACAAGTGCCCTGAAGGAAAAATTAAGTAAAATAAAGATAAGTGACTTACTTAGAATACGAAAGTAACTATCAGTTAAAGGAAAGGGTTTTATTTGGGTGGGCCTCGCTAGTATACTGAGTGTTGACAAATGTTTGAGAATTCAAGGAAAGGTGAGTGAAAACCTTGAATTATCAGGAATATTGGCTAACATCCATAGCAATCAGCATGATGCGCTTTGGATAATGTAGATCTTACCTTCAGTGCTAGCTCTCTACTGTAAAAACTCACACTCACATGCTTTATATTCACTCTTAGACCAACGAGACCAAAAAGTGAGAATGAATTTTTAAATTCTCTCAAGAGATCAGCTTCCAGCATGACAGTGTGAGGAGCAAAGCGGACCCATTTCTCAGTAAAATTGGTGAGAATTATTTCTTAAAAAAAAAAAAAAAAATCAAGCCCTGGCTCGTTTGGCTCAGTGGATAGAGTGTCGGCCTGCGGACAGAAGGGTCCTGGGTTGGATTCCAGTCAAGGGCACATACCTTGGTTGCAGGCACCTCCCCGGCCTGGGCCCAGGTCAGGGCACATGCAAGAGGCAACCAATTGATGTGTTTCTCTTACATCGATTTCCTCTCTGTCTTTCCCTCTCTCTTACACTCTCTCTTTATAAAAATCAATGGAAAAATATCCTTGGGTGAGGATAAAAAAATAAATAAATCAAAAGCCTCTAGAAATGGTCCCAAGAACAAAGAGCAACTGAAGAGACATCTCTTCGAGACAGTCTATGAAGATTCAGTGAGAAAGACAAGAATCTATGGTATCTGAACCATGATTGCCCCCACTCTTCCCCTTCCCAGCTCAGTGAGGCAGAAACTCCACTGTGGACCACTGCAGTCATGACACAGGACTCCCTCATCCTCCTGCCCCCAGTCAGATGGACTTTCTTCCTGGGAGGAACAGGATTTTAAGGTTTGTCATCTGACCCCAGCTCCGTGTGGCTGAGGCTAGGTACTGGGAAAACGCAATTGAGAAGCAGAAAGCTATGGGAACTTACGAGCCAGAATCTGCGTCAAGGTTCTGTGGAACAGTACCAACAATGTTTAACAAGATATCCGTCTGAGCTACCATTTCATTAATTTTTTCAGTAAGTGCCTCCCAATCTTCGAGAAGCACTTCAGGAAAATCCAGATGCTGGTCGATCTTGAAAGAATAGAAGTCAAGAGTACTAATCAAACTTAAAAGAATTTTAGAGATACCTAGAAAAGTGAGAAAAGCATGAATTGTTAGAAGTATTTGTAAGTTTACTATTTCTTTTTTAAAAAATATATGTTTTTATTAATTTCAGACAGGGAGGGGGGGAGAGAGAGAGAGAGAGAGAGAGAGAGAAACATCAATGATGAGAGAGAATCATTGATTGGCTGCCTCTTGCACGCCCCCTGTTGGGGATCGAGCTTGCAACCCAGTCACATGCCCTTGACTGGAATCGAACCTGGGATCCTTCAGTCCGCAGGCTGATGATCTAGCTAGCCACTGAGCCAAACCAACTAGGGCCAAGTTTACTATTTCAATAATAAATTATAAAATACTAATGGGCAGGGGCATATCTTTTTTCACCTTTTTATTACCCTATAGCTTGCTTAGCAAAAATCTTATAAAGAGCAGTTCCTAGATAAATGTTTAGGGAATACTGTATAATTAGTGCTTTTCTGACTGAGAGACTATTTATTTGATGGCAACCTATACTCTAAGTCTCTTATCTTCTCAGCTGAGAACCAAATACATTAAACCCAGAAACTATGAACTACAGTTTTCTGAAAAAGGCATTAATTCACTGAGTCTTTCTGTTAAGAAGACAATGGTGACAAACAGGTTCTTCATAATTATAGGACAGTTAATAAGAGAAATGAAATATAGTTCTTGAGTTATTTTTAAGTCATTGTTCAGGTTTTCATGAAGTTCATAGTTTTAGTCTGAACCAGAATCAAATATGGATCCTAGTCTTTGAATTGATTCACGTGAGATCATGGCAAAATAACCACTTTATACCTCTGTCTTATCTCATTTGCAAAATAAGAAATACAAACGCTCCTATCTCAGAGATATATAAAGAGAAATAATTTAAAAGCAAACTTTTTCTTATCCTTGATGAAAATATTTTCAATGCCTTCATCAGTCAACTTTGACCACCGAGGAGTATTCAAAGTGATCTGTTAATTTCACTATCACTCTTCATTTTGACTCTCATTATTGTAAACCATTTACTAAATCATTTTTAGTCTGCCCACAATAGGAATATTCTCATAGATAAGTATTGCCATTTTATCTGTAACTATAGTACTGCTGTAACAGATCATTAAGATTGTGTTTCCCCATCTAGAGTAGTTTGATGTCGAACAACAGTGGTAGTCAATGCATCAGAGTTGCCTGGAACACTTTACAGGGAAGGCCTGATTCTTAGGTAACATATGACATAGTGATTAAAAGTGTTCTGATGGGTTTTTAATGTCTCTCATGGGTTTTAGAGGGCGAATTTCCAATATGTCTCGAGGAAAACTGGGATATTAGGTCACCCCACTGGGGAAATAAATTGAAGTTCAAAATCTGCTAAGGAGTAGAGGCCCTGGTAACCGCACCAGGCTTTCACTTGGGACCCCTGAATCCCTGAAGGGCTACACCTTAGAAGTAAGGGTAGAATAGAATAGACTGGTTCTTGCAAAGCCTGGAGCCACACTTCATCTCAGCTCAGTCCCTTTTTGGATTAAAATGATCTACTCCTATCCTAAATAACCTGCCAGAATAAAAACTAAAATCATTCTTTTGAAATATAGCATCATCCAGAGTCTTAATTATTTCTAGAATTTATCACACATGATGTCCAAAATCAATCAGAAACAACCAGGAATATGAAAAGAATAGACTCAAAACCAAGACAAATTACAGACAATAAAAAAGACCTAAGCAAAAAGAGAGAGAGAGAGAGAGAGACAGCACTATGGACACATAAAACAGTGTGGTTATTGTGGGGTAGGGGGAGGTGGAGATGGAGGAGGGTATAGGGGGGATAAATGGTGATGGGAAAAAAAATTTAAAAAAGACTTAGTATACCTGAAACTAAGATAATATCATATGTCAACTGTAATTTTAAAAAAGAAAAAAAAAAGACCTATAACAGAATTAGATATCATCCAATTATCTAAAACTGACTGTAGTGATGGTTGCACACATCTGTGAATATACTAAACATAATCAAATTGTACGCCTTACACAGGTAAACTATATTGTATAAGAATTACATCTCAACAAAGTGATGCTCAATGGTTTATTTTGCTTTATTTCTAAAACTATTCAAGTACTATCTTGATTTTAACTATTAATTGTATTGAAAATTATTATTATTAAAATCCTTTATGTTGAGCAATCTAATTATCATTGTTTTTTTCTTACCATTATCCCCAGTTACCCTTAATTTAAATTCTTTGTAGAGTCTGTCTGTGTTTTTTATAATTTCCTCCATGTGTTGGAGCTCTGGTGGCATTAACCCCTCCATATTTTTATGGCGATGAAATATCCCAAATCCAACATCTGTCCAGTTTTCCTGTAAATATTTAATAATCTTGAGAGAATCATATTTTGACACTAGAGAACTACCAGTAAACTTCTCTTTATCTTCATTCAGTATCTAGAGAGTAAAAGGGAGGTAAAGAAATTAGCACATTATCCACTAATGATTTCATTAAAGTTGAACCAGATCTTTATTTCAATTATTTTGGAGTTAAATATCTTATTATTATTTGTTCATACCATTTCTTCATCTGACATACATTTTATTTTCAAAATTAAAGTAAATTTAAATTAATTTGCTATCTTATAAGATTACCCATTGTTTACCAGGATGAAAATAATTAAATCTATATGGGTAAAAAGTTGGTGATAGGCAATTAAGTACCAGAGAGCTAAGCATGTTTAATTGCTATATGCTTTCGAAAGGATATAATACATTTGTTTACATGATCCCCACTAGACTGGGGAAGTTCCTAGAATGTAATGGTTGTGTTTTATTCATACTTTATTTATCTGTTTAACCCCAAGTCCCAAACATGACATATCAATAAATATTCATAGAAGAAATAAAGTACTATCCTATATAATAAAGAGGTAATATGCAAATTGACCATCACTCCAACACAAAGATGGCTGCCCCCATGTGGTCAAAGATGGCCTCCACAAGATGGCCAGCAGGGGAGAGCAGTTAGAGGCGACCAGGTTGGCAGGGCAGGGCAGTGGGGAGGACCAGGCCAGCAGGAGAGGACAGTTAGGGGCAATCAGGCCAGCAGGGGAGCAGTTAGGCATCGATCAGGCTGGCAGGGGAGTGGTTAGGGGGTGATCAAGGTGGCAGGCAGAAGCGGTTAGGGGCAATCTGGCAGGCAGGCAGGCGAGTGGTTGGGAGCCAGCAGTCCTAGATTGTAAGAGGGTGCAGGCTGGGCTGAGGGACACACACCCCTGTGCACGAATTTCGTGCGCCAGGCCTCTAGTTTATATATAAAGTTTGCCATTACCTGTGATTCAGATAATGGAATCAAATCATCCACGCTTCAATAAGAATGACCATTATAGGGAAGGCTTGTTGCAGAGCATTAAGTGTAGGAATTTTGGAGTTGGAGAGACATGGACTCAAACTGTGATTCAGCCACTTGCCATTTATAGATAACTTGGCAAGTTACTTAACATTTCTGTGAGATGGGGATTATAAAACCTGCATCATGTGGCTGCCATGAAGAATAAAATCACATATGAAAATCACCATTAGCCTAGCAGAGTGTTTAATGAATGAGTTATTATTATTCCTACTAAATGAAGAAGCATGGATTATTTCAATTTTATCTAAGCAATGTCAAAATTTCCAGAAAAACAGTTAAAAAAACAACCACCAGTCACTGAATCAACTATACTGTGTATAAGACAACAAACCTTCAATTCGGAGAATATCCTGCTCAAGTCATTCCAAAAGAAAAGAAAATGGCTCCCTGGGATCTGGATAACAGTTTATCAAGTCACAAGTTTGATATTCACTTTGGAGGAATTTCAGTATTTTATGTACTTTCCTCTGTCCAACTACTATAACATTATAGGAATTTGACTAATAAAACCTATTTCCATAGTTCAAACATCTTTTAAAAGAGGTTACTAATAAACAAAATGTGGATTATACAGACAATGGACAGAAAGGAAATTTGACACATGCTACGACATGAATAAACATTAAGAACATTATGCTGAAGGAAGGCTGTCGTCGGTCACACAGGCCAAATCTAAATGATTCCACTTACATGAGGTGCCCAGAGTAGTCAAATTCAGAGAGACAGAAAATAGAGTGGTGGTTGCCAGGAACTAGGGCAGGAGGAAATGGGCGGTTAGTGGGTGGGTAGAGTTTCAATTTGGGAAGATGAAAGAAGTTTTAGAGATGGATGGCGGTGATGTTTGCACAACAATGTAAATGTACTTAATGCCATTGAACCATACCCTTAAATTGGTAAGTTATATGTTTATGTATATTTTACCACAATTTGAAAAATGATGTTATTGATCTTAAAAGTCCAATTTGTCCTTAAGACAAAAGCCAGGTATAGGAGAGGCACAAATGTTACATCTTACAGTTAGAGAACTGTAATTGAAAAAAAGAAAAGAAAAAAACCTATAGGAGAATCAGATATCTCCTCCCTGCCTTTTTTTCTGGCACCTTAACTTATTTGACCCCAAAATCTAAAATAGAACTGAAAATAAAATAGTTAAGCATATTTTTCAAAGCCCCTGTAGTCTTGTTGTTTTCCTTGTCTTACCCAAAACTTAGTGTGGCATTTTAAAGATTGAGATGTGACTCAGCTGGGTGCGAGGAGTGGCAAGCCTTACCTTCAGCCAGTTCTTGAAGTCTGGAAGAATTGATTCAAATATATTTCCTTTACTAAGGGTTAAAATGTCTTCTACCCTGAAAGAAGGAAAAAGAGCAGGGTCTCAGAACAGGGTATAAAGAAAGAAAATCGTGAATCCATACGCCATATGACAATAGTATGCTTCTCCTTAATGATTTTCAAGCATACCTTCCAGGTTCGCCCTCCCCCCCCCCCCATAGGCATTCATCTTTAAATTTACAAATAAAAACATAAATTCAGGTTCTTCTCAGAGGCCACAGTAGTATTAAAAAGGTCATTTCGCCCTAGCCGGTTTGGCTTCCTGTGGACTGAAGGGTCTCGGGTTTGAGTCTGTCTGGTCAAGGACACATACCTAGGCTGCAGCTCAGTACCTGGCCCTGGTTGGGGAGCATGCAGGAGGCAACCAATCAATGTGTCTTATATTGATGTTTCTGTCTCTCCCTCTCCCTTCCTTTCTCTCTAAAAATCAATGGAAAAATACCCTCAGGTGAGGATTTAAAATAAAAAAGGTGATCTATGGGTCTTCTGCATCCAAAATTAGATTACCGTAAGAATAATTCCTGTTGAATACAGCTGTCAAAACAACATGTAAATAGAAAGGAAGCCTAATGAATAATTAAGGTTAGGAGCCCCAAATTCTGGTAGGAAAGTTTCCTGTCATCTCTCTAAAGTCTCACAAGAAGAAACCTGTTGATAAAGAAGTTCCTAGAGAGAAAGGGAGAAGAGAACCACTGCCATCTGTGCTCCCTTCCCAGCTAGGGCTCAACAAATGGGAGTGGCGGCAGCAACCAGCCTGGGTATGTACCAGCTTCAACTTTCAGAATTCCACATCTCCGAACTGGGAAACCTCTCAGAGGATATGAAAAAAACTGAAACCACCATTCTCAATTTGAAATGCAAATGGTACTTCAATGTGTTGAGTCTAGCCTGCATTCAAAGTATAGATGCCCACTAACTCTGGCTGTGATCCAGCCTAGACTTAACTACTTGATAGACAGCCTCTTCCACTGTCAGATTTTTCGAACTGTTATACCATACTAGAGGCCTGTTGCACGAAGAGATGCGTGCAATAGGCCATGACGGAGTATAATCAGAAACACAAGATTCTTAGAGGCTCACGTGTTAGTTCTGAAGAACGTCTGCCATTTGATAAGGCCATCCTTAATTATGAGCAATTTCTGCCTTGTAGAATCTTCGTTTTCTTCCACTTCCTGTTTAAATTTATTCACTAAGCTTTTCCATTTCTGTGTCAACTTCTGCAACAATGCAAGGTCCGAAGTGTCCTAGATAAAAAGCATGGAATCAAACCACTTTTTCATTTATTAATGTAACAAATAGTTATTAGCATACACCAAGCCATTATTATTATTGTAATACCAGAGAAATCCATAGAAAATGGACTACAAAATTAAAAAGATATTCCTCTTTCAAAATATCATCAGTGACACTACTATACAGTCGCTTCAGTGGTAGATTTTCTGTGGCACTAAGTATTGGAGGCAACATTTTTTTCCTTTGCAACAAGAGCCCAATTTCCCCATGAAACTTTCATGGGAGATAGTGCAGTACACTGGAAAGAACAGAAATTCAAAGCTAAACAGAACCAAATGTGAATCCTAGACATTTAACTGGCTGTGTAACCTGAGGGAATATTATTTAAACTATTTGAGATAAATTTTTCTTATCCATTATAATAGGACTGGAGGCCTGGTACATGAAAATTTGTGCACTGGAGGGGGGTCCCTCAGCTCGGCCTGCCCCCTCTCACAATCCGGGAGCTGTAAGATGTCCTACCCATGCCTAAGCTGCAGTCTGGCCACCCTCTGCAGGAGGTGACTGGGCCAATCAGGGGAAGGCACCACCCTCATCATCCCGCTGCTGCTGCCACTGCCAGCCCTCACAGCCACAGAGGCTGCCAGCCCTCCTTGGCCCTCCTCAGCCCTCACAGCCGCTGGGGCTTTGTCTGGAAGGACGTCCGGAAGATGTCCAGCTCTTCCACAAAATACCAACTTCTCCGCATGGGCCACAAAGGGCCACGAAGTTTCAATCGCACTGTACGTGCACACCTGCACGTGGTATTTTGTGACAGAGCCACACTCAAGGGGCCAAAGAGCCGCATGTGGCTCACGGGCCGCAGTTTGCTGACCACTGGTACAGATTGTCAAAAGAATTAATGAAATGACGAGGGTAAACGGTTTGACTCTAGAAACACTAGGTACTACTTTCCTCCTTTGTAACCTAGTGTGCTCACTGAATTTCCCCATTAAATTGCAGAGAATGTATCGATAATACAACTATTTCAATAAACATAGCTCATCACAACTTTTTTAGTTTAATAAATGGAGTAACCATAAACAACATTTACAGTGTTATTAACTCAGATAAACTGCTTAACTTGCTTTACTGAGAAGACCTTTATTCACCTTTCCTTGGATTTTTCATTCTGCCACAATAAAGCACAAATGTAAAACTATATTTAAAATTTAATCTATAAATTTAGCAAAAGCCTCTTACAGTCTCAACCCTCAACAGTTGGAGTCTCTTTTTCCATAAGTTACGTGAGCTGAGGTTTACCTTGGTTGACAGCAGTATGATGAAATGCTTAGCATATTTATTCCAGGCTTTTTCATTGAGGTAAAGGTTTTTAGCCAAAATGACTCTATTTTTTTGAATTACCTATATTAAAAAAGAACTGAAATTAAGATCCTAAATCATTAACAAACCACTTTAATTTATTAAACTCAAACCACTTTTACATTGAACTATGAACTCAAGCACAATGACTTATATAAATCATGAATTAGCTTGAATCACAAATTTGTATTTTCTAAAATTACTAAACTAGAACCAAATTGATAAAGAAGTTCCTAGAGAGAAAGGGAGGAAAAATGGGGGGAATGTTATTTAATCTATTTGAGATTAATTTTTCTTATCCATTATAATAGGACAGGAATCCCGGTACATGAAAATTTGTGTATAGTATGTAGCAGAAATTCTTACACAGTTTGATACCAAATACCCATTACAGCCCTAGCTGGTTTGGCTCAGTGGATAGAGCGTCGGCCTGCAGACGGAAGGGTCCTGGGTTTGATTCTGATCAAGGGCACATGCCCAGGTTGTGGGCTCGATCCCCAGTGTGGGGGTGTAGGAAGCAGGCAATCAGTGATTTTTCTCATCATTGATGTTTCTATTTCTCCCTCTCTCTTCCTCTCTGATATCAATAAAAAATATATTAAAACACACACACACACAAAAAAAAGTCATACTCTTAATAATTATTGAAAACTTCAAAGAGCTTTTCTATACATGATTTTATCTATTGATATTTACTATATTGCAAGTTAAAACTGAAATTATTAAAAATCCATGTTAATTCACTTAAATGTAACATTAATAAATTGACATACATTAAAATAACATTTTTATGAAAAAATAATTTTATTTTCCAAAACGAAAAAAAAAAATTGGAGAAAAGATTACCGCTTTCACATTTAAAAAAATCTCTTTAATAGAATAGAGCGGAATTTTCATATTTGCTTTTGCATTCAATTTGTTGCAATATTCCATATCATGTAACTTCAAAAAAATCCACTACACTCATGTGAGAATGACAGTGAAAAAGGCAAATAACATTCCAGCATTAAGATGAAAGTAGTTTTTAAGGAAAGAAAAGAAGAAAGAAAGAGAAAAGATGAAAGTCGTTTTGACCTCATGAAAAGGTCTCATAGACTCCCAAGAGGTCATACTTTGAGAACCACTGATACACGGAATCAATTATCAGTATATAGTCATTCAATGAATCACTGTGCTAGACACTGTCCATGTAGCTGTAAACAAAAGAAAGTCATTTCCAGGGAGTGGACATGCTAGCTGTTGTTTCCTGTTGGAAGGAACTTTAGGGGTGATCTAACACAAAGCCCCATCAATTCAAGGCATTCTTTTACAGAACCCTCTGCCGGCGGTCAGTTCTCTACTGTACAAATACTTCCGGAGCGAGGGAACTCACTTGTCTTCTTTATTTTTCCTACTGAAAATGCCTAGCTCCTGGATTTGTTTCTTATACATTTACTGTCATGACAATTTCCTCTGGGCATGACAACGTCCCTTTTAAATTCTGGATCAGGATAGAACAATGTGTCCTTGATAAGTTCTGAATATTCCAGAGGAAAATGGGACAAAAATCCGAATCTGTTCCAGGTCATAATTTGCTATTAATTTTCTAAGTCCCAGATGTGAGAATAGGCAACTTAACAGCACACACTTAACACTTCAGAAAAATAGAAGATTCTTGCTCACACTTCATAGATTCTGGTGGGGGGGAAAAAAAGAACCCTTTTTGTGGGCAATAGTCAGGCACCCAATAGTAAAGAAACAAACAAACAAAAAATACAACTTTCCCTTTCCAGGGTTCATAACATCTACCTTATTCATCAATTAAATATCCATCTTCATGTTTCTATTCTTCTTCTTTTTTTAATTTATTTTTATTGTTGAGAGTATTACAAATGTTCCCTGTTTTTACCCCTTTGCCCTCCTCTCCTTGACTCCCACCCATCTCTTTTTAACTTTTTTGTCCAATTGAAATTTGTAAAATGAAATTTTATTCAAACCAAAAAGAAGTTCAGTTGATGATTCCTGATGAACCAACCTTTAGGGCCAATTCATAAGTGGCTGTGCTCCAGATGTCTCTTTCTGCCATCAGTTGTTTAATGTCGTGCTCCAGCCTTCCTCTCTGTAACATATACAGGTCATGGTACTCTTCTACGATTCTAAAGGAAAAAGTAAGAAACCGCTATATAGGACATTTTGTTAAAAGAAGAACTGTTTTTGTTTTGTTTTTTAAAAAAGCAAGTTGTCCCTTTAAAACTGATCATAAGGTAATTATAGTATAATTGCTGGATATTTTGATAATGGGAACAGAAGAAAAACATTCATAATTCATTTAAAAATCTCATAGAAGTTAAAGTAAAAAGTTCAATATACTGTTTCCTGTTCAAAATATTTTTCATTATATTCTTCTAATAGAATTTTCACAACATGGTATTCCAATAATATAACACTATATCTAATAACAATTTTAGAAAACAAGTAGCAATAATACCGTAGTGTTATTGTTAAGCTTGTCTTTCTCATAGACTCAGGATTCTTTACTAAGTCATAAAGCCCATTCAATATTATCTTGTATTAGTTTCAGGTGTACAGTTTCAGGTTAGACAATCAGAATTGATTGACTGTATCAGAAACCATATCTCACCATTTGACCCTTTACAGAAAAAAAATTGCTAACCCCAAATAGAGAATAAAACATTAAGACCATAGTAAAATCACTAAAATCTTCTCCCCAAAACTAGACTCACACTAT